GTTTCCCAACAACAACCATGATAAGGTGACATTCCCATACAGCCAACAGCAATGGGGCCTTCGGGGTCGGCTGAGTCCTGAGCCCGCACTGGTCCCAGTCAATGGAGGTTTCTCAAAGGGGCCCCGTGGGCTGTTTCCTTTGGTTTCCCTCTAGCCACCAAAAAGGGGGTCCAGCATTCTACGAATCCGCATGATAACTTGCGCTATGGGAAACCAACCACCAAAGGGCCAAATGGCCATGGGCCACGAGCAGCCTTTGTCTCCACTCCACGCATTCACCGGATCATTGCCAGAGGGTCCCCAACAGCTAGCTGGCATGGCTACCAAGGGTCAACTGCCGAGGGCTTACCCTGTGACCCTTTGAGAGACATGGGACCCCGACGAGCGAGTCTCTTCTGATATTTTTGTTTTTTTCCAGCGGGATCAAAAGGTCAACCCTGCGCCAAACCTGAAGTTGGGGTGTGTTGGTTTGAGGCCACCTCTCTGTTGGTTGGATGAACCGAGGGGACACCACGTTGTGGTTTCCTCAATTTGAGACAAGCTCAGTGACTTCTCACGCTTCCGGGTCCAAGTTCAGCAACTTAAGGCGTGGTTTCCAGCCAGGGTCCGGGCCTCTCGATGTTGATGCAACAATGGGCGACGTCCGAAAAGTGTCAGTAGCGTACGCCCATGGGGCCCGTGATTTTGAAAGAGTTCGCATATGAACTCTGGCTTATTGAATTCCGTTTGATTTCTAGTTGGATCATAGTGGAACACGAATTTGAAAAGGAGCTCCGGTTACAATTACGTAACAGACATCATGTGGCATTGGTTTCAAACACGCTTGCCCATGGTGTACTCACGCACTGCCCGGTCGGTGAAGCTCAACATTTAACGGGCAATGCGCAGAGACTAAAGACTTCCCTAGGGCAAACCACCACAAAAGGAGCATGTGAGGTGCCCACGTTTCTCGAAAACAACACGTCGGGGGTAGTGGGAGATGTTGAAAAAGCACAATCCTTTTGGCTACCACTTGGCTTTGCATTTCCCTTTCGATCAAAGCATCTGAAGGCGTGGCCCGGCCTCAGCCATCTCCCACTCCGCGCTCTGGGACTTGTGACGCCGCACCTCCAGATGGGCACGAGCAAGAAATGGGCACCCGTTTCACCCGAGCTGACGGTTGGTTGTATCAACATGTCAGTGTAAAGGTATCTCAGTTGATTTCTGCCCCTCTGCTAAAAGTTTAACTTTTAGTGACTTTTAGTGGTTTAATGGAAAACCCATTTGTTGGCAAAAAGATAAAGTCCTAACATCCAAGCAAAATGCACCAAAGGTATGTATTATACATACCCGTGCAGTGTGGTAGCCCCTCAATGGCATGTCCAAGAACCCCAGCACTCCCCACTACGGTTCCCAAGCCACCCCACACCCCAGCACCCTCACACCCAGGACCCAGGACAAACCAACTGCCCTCACACCCCCCTAAACCCTAAACCACACCTACATCACCAGACCAACCGCCTTAGCCCAAGCTTTTCAGCACACATAGATAACCAACCCCAAACAAAACACCCTAAGCGAACCCCAAAACCACCTAAACTACCCTGATTAACCACCTATTCGCATGGCCGCTGCTCATGTGGGAACGTGTCCAAGTTTGACTTGAAGCCCTCGGGCAGAGGGCACTTGACTTTCTGAGTATGTGTTTTAGCGCCTCGCTTTTTGCGCTGTGCATATCTTCATGTTCCTCTGGTTGTGCTGTTGTACAAATGTTGCACGCTCATAATAGTGGGTGCCCCACTTCATGCAAATGTTGGTGAGTCTTGACGATGCACCAATGCGTGTTCCCTAAATTGGGGAATGCCCTTGTCACTTGTGTTTGGTGTTTGCAAGAAGAGCGCCTTTGCAAGGGTCACCGGTCTTCGGGCAACACACACACACACACAAAAAGAGAGAGAGAGAGAGAGAAAAAAAAACAAACACAAAAAACAACAGGTCCAAACAGTCAGATCAATCAGCAACACCCCTCCGGCACATTCCTGCCCCTCTCATCCCATTGGTTCGTGTGTTGCCAGGTGTAAGCCAAGTTCTTGGACCACTTCCGCTCGGTCTGGCCAACCGGCACGATCCGAGCGCCTGCGCTTGGAATCACCTGGCGAAAGCGATCGGGCAGTGAAGTCTTGCAACAGGACCCTTCGGTTTTTGCGAAGTGGGGAAACCTGCTTCACCCTGTGCAGGAATCCACCTAGAGTCTCCATGACCCTTAAAAAATGGGTTCATGACCCCTTAATTTTGGGTAATGATACAAATTTTCTAAGGGTCATGGAGACTCCAGGCAGGCGTTTGGCCGTCCGCAACTGACAGCCCAGGGTGTAGGTGGACTGCTTGGGATTATGATTCGATGCCCGCCCTACTCTTCACCGTGTCAGTGTGTGTGTAGATAGTTGCGCAAAAGCGATCTGCAACAGGTTGCAAGTCCTGACGCCGGAATCGATTAACTGAACCCAACAATGTGCCTTCA